TGCGCCTGGTGCCGCTCCCCTCCTGGTCACCGAATCCCCGCTCTGCCCTTAACTTTGGGGGCAGCCTGCCAAAAAATGCTCCTTGGAGCGGAGCCTGGCTTGGCGTTTCCAGGAGGCTCTTGGGGTTTCTTTTTCCAGGGGACACAAGGGCGAGGATAAATCCGTAAGTCTTTCCTCCCCAGACCGCCTACCAGACGGAGCTCGGGCAGGCCCTGGACCTCATCACGGCTCCCGTCAACCAGGTGGATCTGAGCCGCTTCAGCGAGCAGAGGTGAGAGCCGGGGGGCTCCGGCCCCGTTTGGGCTCCCGTGGCCTCCGGGAGAGGCTTCCAGGAGGGCTGTTCTCCCCGCGCAGCCGGGAGCTGCTTTGGGGGTGGCTCCTTGTCCTCATCTCCCTCCGTGTCACCGCGGGGAGGGTGGCCAGGGCTCCGTGACGGGCCGGGTGCCTCTGCCACAGGTACAAGGCCATCGTGAAGTACAAGACGGCCTTCTACTCCTTCTACCTGCCGGTGGCCGCTGCCATGTACATGGTGAGTCGTGCGGACAGCGGTGGCAGCTGGGGACACTGCAGCGGGGGTGACAAACGCCCCAGGAGGGTTTGGTTCCTTCCCTCCTCCTCCAGGCTGGTATTGACAGCGAGGAGGAACACGCCAACGCCAAAGCCATCCTGCTGGAGATGGGCGAGTTCTTCCAGGTGCAGGTAGGAGCTGCCGCCCTGTCCCCTCGGTGCCCCAGCTCCTTCCTGGTGCTGCAGCCGCTCTGCTCCCGCCCAGGACGATTACCTGGACTGCTTTGGGGACCCCGAGGTGACGGGGAAGGTCGGCACCGACATCCAGGACAACAAGTGCAGCTGGCTGGTGGTGGAGTGTCTGCGGCGCGTGACGCCGGAGCAGAGGCGGATCCTGGAGGTAACGTCACCGTTCCCGGAGCAGCAGCGAGCGGGGCCGGGGGCGCCCCTGGGCGCTGCTCTTCACCCTCCCTGCCTTGGGCCTCCCCTCAGGAGAACTACGGGCGCAAGGAGCCGGAGAAGGTGGCCAAGGTGAAGGAGCTCTACGAGGCCGTGGGCATGCGGGCCGCCTTCCAGGAGTACGAGGAGCGGAGCTACGCGCGGCTGCAGGCGCTGGTGGCGCAGCACGCGCGCAGCCTCCCC